GTCTAAATTACGGCAAGGTGTTCAGCAAAAAACTCACTAAACCTGTGGGTATTGATCTGTAGCTAGCGAAGAACGGAGCCATGTGACACCACCAAGTTGGCCCATTTACTTTCGTTTTGGCCTTGAACGCGCACGCACCGTCGTGGCAGCGGGTTATTGTTCTGATGGAAACGTACTTTGAAGGGCTCTCCACCGTCCGCGTCCAGCAACATTTCCAGGAAGCACTCAGACCGAAGTGTCCCATCAATGAGTACCAAAATGGCACTCGGCACAATAGGTGAGTCTAGCGTTGTCGTCGAGTGACACACACACTCCTGAAGCGTCGTGAGGACCACGTCCAATTCCGCTGCTGGACACAGACACCTCAACGTGCGACAAATCTGCCTACATCGACCGGTCTACGGTTTGCACTGCTGCGTTTTTAAACGTGGCATCTTCGCTACTTAAAAATCTGAGATTTCAACGATGCGATAGATTATGGACGAAAAAATTCACAAGTGGAATAACGACCACCGCAAAAAACAAGGACATGTAGTACTCGGCATTTGTCAATGAACTGAAAGCTGAAACGTCCGTTGATTGGTCGGCCCGGCGCCGCCTCGTGCGTAGATCTTGCCAGCGATATCACCAAACGCTGAACGTACAGTAAAACCGGATCAACATCAGGCCGATAACTTCGTGTGCGATAAATCATAGCAGACGGTGAAAAAGATCACGCAAATGAGAGAGAAAAAAATTCTGCAAGGGCGACAAACTGAGGCGAACAGCTGAGGTAGATGCGAGTCGAGAACTACTCAGTTACCTCAGGCTTCGAAAGACGGATTGAACCGTACAAAATAAATATAATCATAAGTTTCGTCGCAGGAACAGCATGCTCCAGATGACGTTTAAAATACAGGAAACAAAATAACATAACACCCTATATAAGGCAGCCAGACTTCTAAGACAGACGTTTTTATAACATGCCGGAGTTTGTTCACGCAGATGGCCGTAGCGACCACACATCCAGTTCTAAGATCCACAGCTTAGCGCAGGGATGTGATTCCCATTTCAGTTTTGCACTGGCTCACGATACGGCTGAAATGGCTACAGTCTCGGGGAGGACTGCCTTTTAATGCTGTTAATACACATGGCGTTTATTCTAGCGTCCGCCATAGCCAAGTGGATTTGGTTCAGGCTAACCAACTGTTAGCCGTTTCAAACTGGCAACCCATTGGTAGAGTTGGAAACTTGAGTTTTCTTCGGCAGGATGAAGTTCTGCCAAATTTTCTTCGCTGTTGGAAGACGATGATGGATGGAGACGTTTGCGGACGGCCTACCAAAAGAGTTTCGTGTGAGGAATAGCCGAATAAGAAGAAGGAAGTGCACAGCAGGGCCTGATGTCCTGATTTGTAGGGCCTGTCTTCCATGGCGTGGATATTGCGGTATTTTTGCAGGCAACTTTCACGTCTTTCGATTTCAGGTACGAGGTCTGCTCGAGACCACGGTCAGCGGGGCACAGGAGTGATGCACGGAGGGAGTGAGTTAGTTATATTCAAAATTCTTGGTGATAGCAGAAAAGTAAATGAATCCGTATTAGATAGTAGCATATAACGGTATTTGGCCAGAAGGCAAAAGGGACCTCAGAATCTGCTTAATACGGTAGGCCATACGCACTGGTCAGCATTTTGGCATTCGGCCTGATTTTCAGGTATACTGCAATATCTCACCGTAAGGGTTCATAAATTCGCAGCTGTACATGTACATATACACTTAGGAAGCATGTACATGTAGTCTTGTTCCTTTTTACGAGTAGTTTACGACCAACGTAAGCTGCTGTGATCAATATAGTCATGTCAAATCTTTCCGGTCAAGTGAATCTGAAATTTTTTATCCCTCTTCCATCCCTTATAGTTTCTCTATTGACACAACGGTATCTCTATCCACCTGATCAATCCAGTTCTTCACGTGGTCAAACACTATTCGTAACTTGCTGGACAAAACTAGAGATACCTCGTTTTTCGAAGATTCGACGTGTGGAGCACTTCTTCCGGGTAATGTCGCACACGGGTGGTTTTGCACATACGTCTATGCCGTGTGCACGCTATTTATCCAGCCATTAATCGGTTGTTCAGCTGCCACTAAACCGAGTGAGGCAACAAAGGCTACAGTGATTCAGGCAATCGTTCGAACGATTTCCTCGCGTCCCTCACTGTGGAGCACAAACGTGCTAGTAGTCCAGTCCATTACTCTGAGGGAAGCGGTACACGTGATGGCCCTTTCGGTTGCCGAGTTCAAAACGGGTGTACTTCATAGAGGACGAAACTCCCGAACACCACTGACGCGGAAACCGATCAAAGAGTCCTGTCCGCGACACTGTCGACACATCGACGTCTCAAGCGGCCATGGTGATTCATGGTGAACAAAGTTGATAGGCAAACCCTGCCATCACCAGTGATTTGTTAATCCGGATTAAGAAAGGCAATAAAAACAAAAAAATGTGAAGCAAAGTATTTCGCAGGTTCGACGCAAAACCAATCAAATCCATCGGTAAACGAAGGAAAGAAACATCTTCGATCTGAGCTTTCAATCTCCACCGGTCGAAGCACGAAGCACGAAACTTGGCAATGCGCCAAAAATCACCAATCGTTTACAAGGGCGTTCAAATGAGGAACCGTCGACTGACGTCATAGATTTGTTCTGTCTTCATCGGAACAAGTGGCAAGATGAGTGAGGGAGAAACGGCATATGCCTCAGAATGAATGCTTACCCAAAACCTTCAAATTGATCATCATTTCAAGCATGAGCTATCTGAAGAATGCGCTCGAAAGGCTAGATGAGTTTTTTCTGCATAGAGATGAAAAATAGCACCAGATCAGGAAGGATCCAGTTTGGAAGATTACCGAAATTTTTATCGAAAGCTTTACTTGATACAGTACAGTAAAATTGATTGCTTTTAACGCAACCGTGCTGTTACTTGGTTAGTTCTTTCCATGACAACGTTTTCATCCTTTGTACTTGATATTCATGGAATCCTTGTTACTCTGCGCTTAGCCAAAAAATGTGCTCTGTCTTTTGCATATGGGTAGGTATATGTCATAAATTATTTAACTTGCTTTTCATTGTTGCGTTGTTCCTTTTTTTGTGCGGCGTTTTGGGCAGCCTAAACTTCCAGTCTTCCACGTACCAAGGCTTTTAGTCCTTGCATATCGGTTTCCAGCTGGAATACGCAGTTTCACTACGGCATCGATGGTCTTCGCAAAAATCGATTCGTAGTTCTCCCTAAATGGCGTAATTGGACCAGCACTGACCAGCTGTCCATAGATATTGTTTTGTCACTCGCTTCCTGCGCTTTAAATCTGAACGCTTTACACCTGTACAATTGACAAGAGGGCGTTGGCGTTCGTCAATTCGCCAGGGACTGGGAGAGGCAGATTTTCCTCCGTTCGTGCTAATCTCTTATTATACGCAATTCGAAGTCTCATTAGCTTAAAAGTCTCCGGCCCGAGCTACCATCACAACGGGTCGTCAGACATCAACTTCAGGAAGAGCACTCGGCAATGTCTACTAGCATGTCATCATTATCACCTTCATCTAAATCACCATCATCAGCAGCGGCAGTATTATCTATCTGGCATTTGGTGACAATACGAGTCATGTCCCGGCGGCAAGGCCTAATGACGGAACTGCGAGTTCCCGAGGTAGCACAATTGCTTAACACCTTCAACCGCCCAGCTGTCCATTTTAGCGCGTTCCCAGCGTTGCACCGTCATCTTCAGCCAAGGGACCTTCATGGGCAACTTGTTGAAGGAGAATGGGCGCAACTTTCGGAAACGGCATAAAAGCGCAACATCATCTGCGTAAGCAATATTCACAAAAGTAGTGTCGCCACCACTCATAGAACAGCGTTAAAGTATTGGCTCAACTGATTATTAATTATTTATTACAATTCATAATTAATTAACCTAAAAACTTTTGTACACAGATTAACCAGGTTACGATAGAACCACAACCGCAGCAACAACCAGAACTCCCTCTTTCACATCAGAAAGTGACGATGATTTTTAACTGAAGAGGCAATTAAAATCAGAAGCTTTTTCTTGATCCCTTGCAACTCTTATTCCGAAGACGTCAGCTATTAAACACGTCACTTTCAACTCAAAGTTCAGCTCACCTTCATCTTGTTGTATAAAAGCTGTTTTGCGCTTTCGATTTCTTCCTGACGGTGTCATCCATCATGTCACCTCACACGGATTATGTGATTCAGCTTCATGAATAAGTTAAGCATTATTTATGTACATACTTATGATGAGGGGTTTGCTTCTGCTTAACAAATGTCCATGAGCATTGATTATTTCAATTTTACGGTTTGACTTTCATATATATAAATATGCATAAAAAATAGAAATTATTCAACTCGATTCGCAATGCAGAAATGAATAAGAAGGGGAGGGCGTAAAGCACGAATGAAAAAACTCTTTCAGTCCTATCTGGCTGTTCTAGAAGCAGAACGAAATGATCGGTGCCGACACAAGCTTGAAAGTGCTTTCGCTGAACAAACATTAAAAAGGCCACTGCTGTTTACACAATAGATACATAATATGTCATCGTATGTAAGAAGTGTCATTTTTATGTATGTGACATTATTTTCTTTCAGATTTACTAACAGGTTCGTTTACATTAATAATGCTGCAGGGAATGAGTGATGCGCATCACTGCTCCGAATTACATATCAAAATCCGAACGTTCCCTTGCTCACAGATTGGGTCATTTAAGCAGATCTTGGGTCCATAATGTTTGAGGATGATCCTGGTTTCATTTCTTTCATTCAACTGATTCTAGAATATCTTATGATATCGCTAAGTTACCACCTCACAGTTTCCTCTGGCGTTGACGATGGTATACTTTTTCGTACTCGATATTTTGGATGCTCATATGGCAGAAGAATGTATGGTATAGTCTCTTTCCTTCCGTAGGTCATTCTTTGTTCGACCTCATGTATTATTAATTTACATTTATCTTGCAATTATAAGCTTTCTTCAGCTACATAGTTAAAATCTGATGTGTCTTGGCTGCCCCGTGCAGCCATGAGCAAAATATTACTTGTAAGCGTGCCCCTGTTTCGTTCTGTCACAGGAAGATGACTCCCAGGAGGCAGTAATAGGGGTCTTGAGCATCCAACTGCGGAGTCAAATTATATTAGAATGTTCACTTAGTGATATGGGTAACCCAAATCCAGACCAACAACTGGCTCAGAAATCTTAACATTTTCATTTAAGGTTGCAAGTCATCTGCGGCCATGCCACTAGAGGTAGCTGAACACAAAGGTGCAGCTGAGAATGACGAATCTCTCAATTTGAGACATGGGTGAAATCCCTGGTGCATTCAACTTTATCGGTACGTAACTAACCTTATATTTGTGAGGTAAATCGAGGGAAATAAAAGTTCTCATCATTTTCCTTGACCTGCCTGTTTGACGAGGAAAAACGTTTCAAGATGTTCTACATATATTTAAGACATTAAACCAGAAATCAGCAGATAAATTTGCCTATGATAAAAGCTATCACTTGGTTCGCTGAAAAGTTCCAGCAAACATAGGTACTCATCTACCACAGCGACAAATGAAAAGACGTACGAATTTCTCACCTCAGTAGAGGAAACGAACGGTTTCATGACTCTGTCTCTGCATTCTCACGTCCCGCTTTTTTGCAGAACAGTGTCTAATTTCAAAGCAGGTTATGAATGATTAGTTTCACATTGTGAACTGCAACTGTTGTGTTACGGTAGACCAGGAAGATCAGACAGAAGCCCTGTTTCAGATGCTTCTGCCTATCCATCGACAAGGTCTCATTTACGCACCCGCAGCATTTACGCCAGTGCCTAACTGTCGCTGGTAGTCCAGTATTCAGACAGTAAACAGGAGTCATAGATGTAGTCGTGGGAAGCAAAGCGAGCAGCACATCATCGACTGAGCACGTAGCTTCCTTCGGTGACCACCGATAGAACCGATGGACGGTGGCTATCGTTGGATGGTACGCGTGATCGTAATAGTTCGCTTTGACCATCACAGAAGACTTAAATATATTAACTTTGGACCTTAATGGACCATTGTGACAAATGAAAAACATCGCGAGAAGAACGTGGAGGAAGTGTTTTGACCAACGCAATTTATTTGACTGCTGAACAGCGGTCGATCAGGGCAACAAGGCAATTTCGAGACCACTGGCATGACCTGCAACCATGTCGCCTGCATAGAACCTGCGTCTGAATTGAACCAAGCTTCAGTCATGGAGTTGGACAGGGATTTTGGCAAATCATCACAGCGTTGATGATGTTGTCCATCAAGTACAGTTATTCAACGCTTTTCTTCACCTACACGACTCTTGGTGGTTCGTGTCGCGACTATGACCTCAGCGCGTACCTGCTGGCAGCAGGGAAAACTCATTAACGGTTGCATTCGTACTCGTCGACACTTCAAAGCCTTGGGACGACCGTGGCATGATGCATCCAAACCAACGGCAGCTGTTTGTCTACTGTTGACCAGACTTGACACTCTAACGAGGAGTTACGGTCACGTGATCAACTGAGAGGTGCTCGGTCGGTGTCAGGGTATTTTTTGGTGAGAACCTCAGCTAAATAAGAGCGCAGAAACGGCACGATCACCGCCGCCGTTGCCGCCGAAGTGAAGCACAGCTGAGAGTCTTGGCCGGTCGCTTTCGAAACTCCTGCTTCCTGCTTTTTTGTCTGTCCGCATCTCGCATCTCCGAAGATACCTCCTTGGTTGTCGTTATTGATGAACATAAGCTTCTTGAGCGAACTTCAAGAGGCGAGTCCATCAACTTCTTTCACACGGCATTACGGCATCCAACGAACAACGACAGGGGGGCAGACGTGGTCGAGAAAAATTGCTGTCTCTTCGCCTTCTCCAAAGATACTTCTTAATTGCCGTTGCTGATGATGGACGAAGTTTCTTGCACAAACCTGAGGGGGGTCATCGATCACCGTCAGAGCATCGACCGACAGTTTATGATAACTTCACGGGAGTGGGTCGGTGAGTTTTCAAAGTCAAAGACGCCAGACATCGACCATCGACTATGTGAAAGTTGGTCGGTTTTTCCGTTTCCTGACTCTAGAATGTCGGTGGTCAAACGCAATCAAGAGCGACTGAGAAGAATGAATTAAGGCGGAAGGCGCTGGCAAAGACCATGGCGATAGATGGGCTTAGAATCCGGCGTGGAACTTAATCCTCAAGGAAATTCATCAACGCATCGCGCAACCAGGTGCTTAAACAAATCCGCTTCCATTTCCCCGGTAATCTGC